CTATCTTTATTATATTATTTCCTTATTATATTATTGTCTGTCTTAATTATATTGTCTTTTATTTTATTAAGGCAGACATACAATAAAATAATATAACCATATAATAGACTGTACAATCAAAGACAATATAAGAAGGTAGTAACATGATTCTTCTATGCCAACTCTAGTAAGCTGCTATTCCAAGATGCTTAATGAGGTAGAGTCTGAAACCAAGGTCACCTAAAGGGTCTACAAACAAACAAGACCTGTCTCTTCCCAGTTTAACAACCATTAATGTGAACTGAACAGGGTATGACCAGAGCTGCATCACAGGAACAGACTGAGATACAAGACTGAATTCCTATAGTCTTCCTCTGGATGTTTTTTGTATCAAACCAACTGTGTCTCCTGAGCAAACACAGCTAACTCCCAGCAACATGGATGCCCACACTTTTATCCTCTCTTCCTCTGCAATTCAGTTCCCTTCATTCTCATTTAAAGTACGCCAGAATAATGCATCAATACTTGGTAACTGTGAGAAACACATAAAGCAGCAATACGAACCCTAGTTAATTTTTTAATGCCAGTTCCAATACTCACCAGGCCAAGTTTTCCAGCTTCATTTAAAATCTTATTTAAGTACCGCTTAAAAATATAAAAGCTTCTGCTTTCATGGGATTTGGCAATCCTCTTCTCACAGTCTGCAACCTGCAACGGGAAGACACTTTATTCATTTCTTCCTCAAACCAGCTTGTTCATAGGAGAAAAGAAACCCCAACCAACACATGTAACTCAGGATTAAGTGAGGCACATTAATTTAGCACTAATCCTGTGATTAGTACACCAGATAAAGAGTGCATGCAGTTATTGAAATACCACTTCCCATGGGTCTGGCCAGTACTAGAGATTTCAGCTCTGCTAACAACTGGGTTTGAATACCAACCTCAGTGAGACTAGGGGAAAAAAAATAAATCTGGATTTCTTTAAGTTTTACGTTTACAACAGAAAAAAAAAAGAAAATTGAAAATATACTAACAACATTAAAATTACATATCCCATTGGGTCTCCAAATGGCTGAGGGAAGTGAGAGCCCCCGGTAGCTACTCAAGGATCACGGCATCCCCTTGATGTCAGAGGACAAAGCAGCATTGGGTGTCTTAACAGCAGCCTCTCAGAACTGCAGTGCTGCACAAAGTGTCAGCCACAAACGTGTCTCTGTGCTCACAACCCAGCCCCTAAAACACGACAGAACTGAACAACTTAGAAACAAAAAGCCAGCTTTCTTCACTTTTGGCAGCACAGGGTGACATCAACACCAGGGGACAGAGGCACATAGCTCCTATCAGCCTCTGTTACACTACACATCATTTTGCGTAACAGACCTCAGTAGGCAGAGCAACAATTTAGAATTAAGTTCAAACCACCCCTAGTCTCTCCTATGATTGAAGAGAGTTCCCTTACATAATGCATGTTATTTTACAAATCACACCAGCAATTCACCTGTTCTATACTATCCAGAGAAGCATCATCAGAAATCACAAAGTATAAAAGGCTCAAAAATACTCACAAGTTCCATACTAACCTTCTGTTGCAAAGAGTCTACTGCCCTGGAGCAACTCGATATTTCAGTACTGACTGAATTGCCAGTCTCTTCCTCAGAGTTGTGGTAGTTTGCCTTAAATTACATCAGAAAAACACGTATTTTGAGAATCGCATAACTTGATCGAAGTCCCATGTTGTGCTTCTATGGTCAGATAGATCACTTTAACAGGAGCAAAGAAGCTAAAAACTGAGCATTGGCCTTTGCTGTCAATACTCTCCCCGCAATACTCCAGCTGCCTCTACTGTTACTTCAGGCCCCTGAAGGAAAACTGCTTTACCTAAATGCACGCTGCCTGCAAAAAGTGAGGTCTTGCCCTGTCCTCCCCCACCTGCCCTTTCCCCTCCCGTGAGGGCCTCAGATTAGATAATCCCACTGGCTATAACTGACTCAGCAAGCAAAGGGGCAGCAGACACAGCCCTGGTCCAGCCAGCCACACAGCCAGCCAGCAAGCAAACACAAGCCCCACTCTAGGTCACATATTCCCTTTCATGTTCCCTCTTCACCATGAAACAACCTTTTTCTTCTGTTAATTGCTCAGACTTAGCTTTAGCAGAGCTGCTTCTACACAGCCAGGTACGCTCAGTGAGGAAGGGCTCCAAAAGGAAGCACAACATCACACAGACCAGTGAACTCATACTGATAAAAAACCATGGTTCTCAGGACTGGAGTGGCCACATACCCTGACTACCTGCAATCTTGCACCGCAGAGCAGAAAAGAATCCTGACAAGATGCATTAACCCAAAGCAGTCATTTTCAAAACACAGTTCTATTTCTGTGGGAGACAGCAGTAAAACTCCCAATACTGTTTCTTCAAACCTGAAGCAGTTGGGAACCATGTTTAAAGATGCCAAAGCTTGCTTAGGTTTGGGGATGCAAATGACCAGCAGGTGGACTTGGGGCAGGGTGAGCCCAAGGGGGGAGTTCTATGCATCAAAATAATGCAGATTTGTTTTTTAAGCTTCAGAAAATTGCACCTGAAGCATCAAAATGGTATTATTCAAAACCACAAAACCTAATTTGAAAGCTGAAAAGTGACAACAATCAAGGGTGTCTGTACAACCAACCACAGGTCACAGTATGTGCACGCAGATACTGGATAAACAACACGCATCTTACATACATCCCTCATACAAGACAACCAAGACAGTTCTCCTTGTTAAAACTAGCTTTTCATACTTCATCATCTCCTCAATGTTCATGAATTATTAACAACATAGCGCTTAGTGTCTGTTTTGACATTCCTTCTGAAAGCGCTGATGCCCAGCATCACAAACCACCACTGACCACAATAGTCTCATAAAATAAACCAGGTTTATTCCCATACTGCTGGCGAACTGGATAATTCAAGTGAAATATAATCATTAACCGTGACTCCCCCGATTTTATCAGCTAGAAACTTAATTTTCCAGATATTTAACATTCTACCTGAGAAACAACAACAGCTGCTTAACCAAGTCCTTTGCACAAGAAATAACTTGCTCCAGAAATCAACTGCCAACCGTGAAGACAAAAGACCCAGCCCTGTGGCTTCATCAGTGCCACAGCTACTCCTCAGGAGAAGAGCTCATGATCCACAATAACAGAGATACCTAGTTTTCAACCTTTCAATTTAAACAATGGGAACACAACACTCTTCTGCATGAGAATTCAGATGCAATCTTGTAAGACTTCAAAAAGGCCATGATTCTACTGATTTCTAATGCCATGATTTAAGGCCAATCTTCCAACAGCGTGTGGCTGAAGGACTGTTTGGCAGAGACAGACACATATGTACTCATGCACCCTTTCTTTTTCTACCTTGTAAGGTCTCATTTTTCCTGATGCTGCATCGTAGTTGAGCATATCCGTGGGGTCAATCCATTCATCGTCTTGAACTTTACTGCTCCCTGCTAGCACAACTGCACACAGCACCAAGGCAAACAGCATCCTGTATCACTGAACAGAACAGGAGAATCAGGGTGTTACGTGCTATACAAACACCTGAAACAAACTTGCAACCCAAGACCAGCATTCTCCAGCGTTGTTTAAGCAAGTTCTCCATCGAGCATGCTAAACGTCAACTTACACGTTGCTCTTCCCCAAAGAAAACGGTCAGGAACGTGCAGCAATGGGGCTGTACCGTATGACTGCATCAATACCGCTGTCTGCGGCTATCGGCAGGCGCAGCGCCGCTAAGCACGATAAACCCGCGCAGAGCTCCTCCGGGCTTCCCGACGAGGCTGCAGCTCCGCTGTCACTGCACGTTCCCCGGCAGGACTCGCAGGGGACATGAGAGCATTCCTGCCCTGCCCGCTCGGCGCTGCTCCCGCAGGCCCGAGGCCGCCCTCCCGGCGGGGAAGCCGCGAAGGGCCGTAAGCGCTGACACAGCTTAAACAGGGACCCCCCGTACTCCTTCCTCTCCTTCGCTTCGGCCTCGTCTCCCCGGTTCGCCACCGCCGCGGCCTGAGCAGCCACCGGCCCTGTCCCCGCTCCTCCCCGCCCCGCCCGCTCACCGCCACAACCGCGCCGCTCCAGGCCGCTGCTGCCGGGGAGGGGCCCCGCGCTGCTCCCGGCCCCTTCCGCCTGCGTGCCCGCGGCAGCCGCCGCTCTCCTCAGCCCCGGCACCGCCCCGAGGCTCCGGGGGGCGCCGCTGTCGAGGTAGCGGGGCCTTCGCGACGCTCCGGCCCTCAGGCGTTCGGAGGGACGGCCCCGCCTCACCTCAGGCCGGGCGGGCAGCAGCTGGGCGGGTGCGAGCGGGAGCTGTTTGGAGATAACAATTAGCAACGGGAGGAGCCGCAGCCGCGGGCGGGGGGGGGGGAGAGCCGCTGCAGGGGGGAAGGCAGAGCGGACCGGGCCCAGCACCACACATGGGAGACGCGGCCACAGAACGGCAGCGCGCACAGCTCAGCACCGCCCCTGCTCCCCCTGTACGGGGTTGGGTTTCGGTGCCCACGCAGCAAGTCACCCCTTCGGTGAACACAGGCAAGGGCGGCGAGTTCCCACCGAAGCACAGCCCAGACCCAGCGCAAGAGGCGGGGACAGAAAGCGCACAAACGAGATCTGCTCCGTAAAGACCCAAGCGACAATAAAATTCATCTAAGGAAATGAGTGTTTAAATATTTGTAGTGCTCATTAGAAACAGTCTGCCAGCTTTGGCCACAGTGGACAGCTGGAGGAATACAAGTCAGACACAGCATCTCCCTCCAAAGGATCATTAACACCTTAAAAGTGTCCAGTACACAGAAATACACATTTTCAGCTCTGTGCTACTGTATCATTACTAACCACAGTTCAAAGTCATGTACTTTGACGCAGGATCCAGGACCTGAAGTCTTCTCTACTTCCATGCATAAACCATACCTAAAAAGAACCATTTTAAGTATCACAGCTACACTGAGGAATTACAAACCAACAACCCGAAACAGCAGAGGAGGCAACTGCAGGTGTTGGAGGTCTTTATTGAGATTATAGCACAGATACACTTCTATAGTTACCTTTCCACTTTTATACGATAGTTAAAAATGCTTGCTACAGTGCACATATAACTTAGTAACCAAGAGAACCCAAAACTTAACTGCAGTTCAAATAAATAAATAACCTAAGGTTGAAGTTTATATTTTTAAAAGGAACTGTACAATATGAAAATATAACAAAACAAACATTAGAATCTAAAGTTTTGTAGAAATAAAACCGCCATTTCCCATACATAAACAGTGCAAGAAATAAAATTCAGATAAGCTTCTGAACTGGGAATTTAAACAAGTCTTAAATTATCATGCAGACATAGCATTTTAAGCCATGCTGGTTTCTATTATAGCATTAATGGTATCCCTTTTACTTGAAAAACTGATAGCCATTAAGCTCACTGTGACAACTGCTGCCAATTCACTCTTTTCTACAGTACATTATACACAGAGGTATTCTGTTGCATTCAAAAAGTAAAATATATGTTTCTAAAGAAACAAATAGGAAAACCCCAAAATTGATATTTTACTTTTCCCAACATGTTAGCTTGCTCAGAACAATGTCATGTAGTAAAAACAGCAACATTTCCCCCAGTCTAGACGAAAAGAAAGTAAACCCCCACACTATGTACCAGACCGTCATCAAGATGCAGTTACTGCCTAGTCACTGTTGAAGTTCAGAATTCATCACTAAAAACGTTGAAGTTGTGGAGATGTTACAAGGTTTGAATCTTGAGGAGTGCTGAATATAACAGATCTGAAAAAACAGTGGTAGTAATTCATGTTTTACGTGTGTGTGTGTGTGTGTGTAACTAGTTACATACAGACTTAAGTGTTGTCCAACGTCAGTTTCTATATAAAACTCTCATTGAGGCAAAGACCAAGGAATGCAATTAATACCAAACTGTAAACACATCATTCAGGTTAGAGTGCACATCAACAACGGAAGAGTTCTCCTCATAGACTTTGGCAACAAGACTACAATAGGTCACAGCAGCATGAGTTCACATGGAAGACTGAAAGCACTGCAAAAGAATATACAAAAAACACCAAGACCTCCTAGAAACCAGAGAAATCTGTGACAAGCACCCCTCCTCTCGGTAAGACACTCTCCTGCTCAACTGCTGCTCTCCCAGTGCCTAATTATTATTACTTGGTTTTTACAGTTCTGTAGTCTCAGGTCTCTGTGCTTTAGCTGCATAGGTTGCCTTTGCACTCTAGCCATTGTAGGTCCAAAGGGTTACAGTTCTGTCTGCAGAGGATGACAAGAAAGAGAGATCTTGCGTATGCCACCTGCACTGAATAACTTTGTCCTTGTGCTCTCCTACCACCATCAGAGGAAGCTGCTTCGTGAGGTCTCCTGTAGCAGAGGAACATCAATCATTAGTCATGTCATGAATTTATATCCCAGCTCTCTGTTGATGTGCCCCTCCCTTTTTGTTTTCTTTCTCCCCTCCCATTTGTTTACTAAACTGTAATATATATTTCATCTTACAAAGCATACTTTGACCCCTTTCTCTCTCTCTCACACACAGAGCATAATACAAGGCCCCAGTGTTCCAGTTTTTAGGCATTACTGGACACTACAAATTTAAAATACAGGAATTCACAATTTTCACACCATGTGATTAAAATTTAATGGTCCAAACCCATCAAGTTGCTAAGATGTACCCAACATCCCCTCTCTTCTCAGCTCTTCCCCCAAAAATAAGCACTATCATTCTGTTTTTCTTTTTTAAAAGGTCCATTTTATGACTGCTGCCTGAAAGCAATGGCCACTTCATCAGCAAACAGTGGCAATTAGTTCTTCTCCAATATTCAAACCCCCTCCCCAAAGCAAGATTTAGTTCATAGCCCACATTCTTAGCAACACAACTTTCCAAATACCAGACACAATCGCATTTATATACATTTCAAACCCTTCAAAGCTCTACTCTCTTGTCCCGTTTTTACCAAAAACCTGGTATTTGAACCCAGTTCTCTACAGCTTCAATATTAAAAATACCAAATCAGAAACTGCCCTTATGCTCTTTGCAGTACATTACCTTGCAAGTCTGTCACCTTTATTTTCATATCATACGATCCTGTGAGCAGGTAGTGTGCCCCCGGGGAGAAGCGAACAGACCGGACATCGCTGGTGTGCGGGTGGTAGCTCTGCACCATCCGTCCTCCACGAATATCATACAGCATGCAGCTGGAGTCCTCCTGCCCCGTAGCCAGGAGACGGCCACTGGGATCAACTGCTACTGAGGCTACAGCGCTTCCTATAGGAGAAAACACACATGTACAGTTGTGCAGATAGCCCTTTTCTAGTAACAATGCATTGTGAATAATTGCGTAATACTTTGTGTAGGAATACCAAATGCTGGCCTTAACCTTAAGCTGACCCTACCTATCTACTGCTATCTTAAAGTAAGACAATTTATTATGTTCTAGCACTTAAAACTCTGAAGCCATAGGTCACACCAGAAGGTAGCAAAGCCACCATTAAGTAACTGTTTTGTCAGAGGAAATATGAAATAATGTATAAATAATGCAAGGAATTCCACATCCTCCTTCCCTCTTCCCCCAAGCCCCTGATTCCAAAAACCAAAACTGAACCCAAGTAGTTCTTTAACAATCCTTGTGCAGGTTTCTAGAGAGTATAAGTAACCAGAGTAAAATCGAAGAAATGGCTGCTTCTTCTTACCCTTGCCTTTGATTCCAAAACGGTTCTGTTTGGTTTTTTTTTAATGTTAATGTACTTGGAAGTGGCTGTTTTGAGTCAAGACAAAGGAAATGTGACTTAAAAGAAACAGTCACCAACAAACACAGAGTTAAAGATCTCCTCACAACTGTCTCTTAAAGCCAAACCCCCATTATGCGATGCAAAAAGCCTTCCATTCACTCTATACTACTTAGACATCTTGAAATGTATTTTTATGCAAGAATGGTCAGAAGCAGGATAGCAAAGCCTTACCTGTTCCATGAAATGTTGTTCCCACAACACGAACACAGCTTGGCACTCTCAGATCCCAGAATCTTACAGTCTTATCTTGGGATCCAGATGCAATCATCCAGCCGCTCCACGTATAAAGTGCTAAAATATGACCTGTGAACAAGAACTTGTTTATTTCATCAAGTATCAGTAATCAAACAATGAAATATTACAGTTCTGATTCTATTTTTGCATTCAGAGATTTAACAGTGCTGTGGGAAACCTGCCTGCTGCACGACCTAAAATGCCAACAGTATAGGCAATACCCAGCTCTGCATCTTCTCTGGAATGAAGCATGTGCTCCCTCCATTAAATTAACAGCCAACATATCCAAAAACAAACACTCCCCACCTCCCCTCTAAATACTTTAAGAGCTATCTGGAGAGGGAAAAACATAGTCTTGCTAGAAAGAAAAAAAAAAAAAGACATAAACCCCACCAACAACAAACCAACCAACGACTTCATTATAATGTAATACAGACTTTCAAAGTGCTCAAGAGAAGTGACAACATACATACCAGTGTGGCCACTTAGAGCATGTAGGCCCTGTCCTCGCTGACAGTCTGTTGTGTAAATATTACAGTCTCCTGCTCCAGCACTTATTAAAATAGCACCACCGCTTTCTGGGCCTTCCATAAAAGCAAGGTCTCTGATTGTCCCATCATGCATGCTGAACTCCAAATCTGGTCCTAAACTCATTTAAAAAGCAAGGAACAAAATGTTTATCACTGTTGGTGCTGCAATCTTTAAAGTAGCTACAGAGGTAATGCAAACTGTTTTAGGCGGGGGTGGGTATACTACCAAGTAAAAATATTGTTGCGCACTTTCCATACAATACTAGAGTTTTATACACTTTCCATAGTTACTAGAGTTCAAATAAAATGTCTCAGGATCTTATTTCCAAGTGTTGCTTGAGCTTCCTACAGTTCTTAAAGCTCAAGCAAAATGTACATAGGCCGTCTCCCCAGCCAATTCCAGCCATGGTTTACAGAGTACATTTATTTCTTTCTTTAAGCAATGGTAAACTAAAAGGGCTTTCTCTACCATGAGGGAAGGAGCATTGAGAACCCTGAACCACATGGGACAAGACAGCTTCAATTCACAACATTAAAGATAAGAGCCATATTCAGCATATTCATTAGGAGGGTTGGGCAAAGAAAATAGTATTTGCTGGGAGAGAAGTCTTCAACTTTCAAGATGGAGGAAAAGATGACAGAACCAGGCAAGAAAAAGGGGAATTGGAAATAAATTTCTACTAACAATCAAGAACTAGAGTTGGGCAAGAACACCCGCTGGTTTTACCGTATCTAGGGGGACAGAAGGTACCAGAAGACAGCAACACACCAGGGAGACTCGCAAAACAAACCCAAAATGCCAGAACTGAAACTGACCAAAATCCAAAACATAATCCTCAACCACCTAGCGGCTCTTTGCTGGACAGACTACAGTCATGGTGGAAGAGACTATGGTGATGGTGAAGAGGAAAACAGACTAAGCTAAAAACCTATGAACTACATAATCAATGTCTTTTGAAAAGCTTTGCCAAACACTGTACAAATGATTAAAAATTTTTTTTTACATTAGACACACACACAGTACCTGTTGCATTACAGGTTTCTGCATTAAAAGGCAGTACTTTCACATATTTATCATTAGAACCAGTAGCTAGCAGCTGTCCACAGGGACTCCAGGCTACACAGTAGATTGATCCTTTATGATGCTTGTTCCTTTTGAAGCGAACTACAGGTTGTTTAGGAGTGTTGTAAGCACTAGGAAAAAAATAAAATAGTAAAAAAAAAATTATATAGAATTTCCTGTTATTTTTGAGGAAAAGTATTCTAAAATAAAAATACCATTTTTGGATAACATGAAATACATTCTATGGTTCGCATTGAAACATACATGTGATCTAAGACAAAACAAAAGAACCTTCTCCATTCCATTTTCTCAGTTTTTCCTAATGTTCCCACTGTATTTGTGATTGGACATGCAAAAGAACTTACACAGTTCCTTCATCTATAAAAGGTTAATACAGATAAAATACAGTAATTATTAGCTACATAAAAATGAAACCTTATCCCCCAAGATCTAAATTGCCAGCATTTTTCTTTACACCCTTCATGCTTCAGTCTTGATCCCACGGCCATCTTTGAACATGTTTGAGTTCCATTAAGTAACAGTAAGCGAAGAAAGCTCGTAAGACACACACCACCTATAGTGGTAGCCCGTGCAGCTCCTACGGCTAAAGGCTGTGTTTGGGACTAAACCATTAGGATACAGACTGGAAAATCCAAATTCTTGAAAGCAGAAATCAGAAGCCTGTGTAACCTCTATGTGTGTACAGATAGATGTTTCTCTTGCCATTTCCCACCCACCAGACATGATGATCCCTAACTGGGGATTTTGTTTGGTATGACAGCATAATTATGGTTGGGCTCCATATACTCGTGTTTGGGGCTGTTGTTGTGCTTAGTAGTACTGTAACTATCAAAACTGAGGCCTGCTGTTTTATCCAAAAAGCTGTTGTCTATGTCATCCTTTCTGACAGGATGAGCGAGACTAGTTAAGCACTTAGAGTGGTTGAAGGATCAAAAAAATACTTCTGTGTTAACCCTGCATGGGAGGACACAGAATAATGCTGCCCTAAGTCAAATACTGTCTCTTCTTTGACCACTAAATAACAGAAAACCATACAACAAAGCAACGCACTCATACATGTCCGTCATTATGAGCTGTGCATTGAATATTACTTGTTGTACAACGTAACTCTCAAAGCTTCACCCATCTATTAGAAAATCTAATAGAGCAGTCTGTGCAAGGATCACACATCACAATTATATGTTAATGCAGGAATCTTCACAGCATCTAAACATAATCTACATTCTTATTTCTGAAGCCAGATCAGCTTTACACATAGCTATAATGAAAGGAACAGTCCCACTAATACACATTTCTTCTATTTCAACTGATTAACTTCCTATAATGTTATTTCTCTGTTCCTATAGCAGAACATAGTCAAGTGATTAAGATGAAATACTGCTGTATCTAACTTGATGCATTCACTCCAGTAACATCAACAAAGTCAACAAATTCAACTGCTATTGAAAAATTCAGAAACCTACTGTAAATACTTGAACAGAAGAGGCAGAGACAAAACAGAAGACAATCATCTAAGCCTGTTTGAAAACTTTTGAGAAACATGGTTTTAGTAAAGAATACAAAAATAAATTTACATGGAAGTTAATTTTATTTGTTGCCAAAGAGAAAATCCATGATAAATTTTCTACACTGGGACTACCATTCAGCACACACTACAGAGCTTCTTAAATGGCCTAATGCCTTCTATGTCACACAGAATCTGGATTCACTATATTTAAGAGGTAGAGGCAGCAGCTGAGAATCACTGCCTTTGTCAGGACATGGGAGCACCTACCTAGCACAGAGACCACATGCTGCCAACCAGCTGCATAGAAGCACTATGATTATTTAAGCAAAAAACTGCCAAACTGTAGTGTATATCTATCAGTGTTTAATCTCAAACCTATGGAAAAAAGCACACTACTCTTGTACCTTTAAAGAAAAAAACAAAAGAAAACAAACAAGCAAACCCCACCAAAACCAAGTGGTTCTGAACCATACAGCAGTTTGACAGACAATTCAAAAAAAAGCTTTAAGAAATCCCAACAAAACTTTGCTGTACAACTAAGCAACTATTTACCAGATACGGTACACAATTATAGCTTTTTGAAAGCCATGAAACATCCTGAAGGCATGTCTAGACTCTGGTTGTTCCAAAGATTAGAGTATCTTTAAGATAATGTAATCTGTCTGTTGACTTTTAAATCCCATGATGAAATGTTTTTGGCAGACTCTAAGCTTAAGAGAAAAAAAAAAAAAACATGAAGAAGTACAAGCTCAGAACTGAGGAAATCTCAGTATTTCTTTCATATCCAGACGCAGTATGTCACTTGTCACATTAGGTCATGCACTGTAACTTGGTGACTAAGGCTGCAGAATCAATCTAACCTTCCCCAATGGTTACAATAACAAGCTGTGTGAGAGTAGACCACAGTAAATACAGAAGCATCCATTCTCCTGGGAGAGTTTTGCACTGCTTACCATCCAAGAGGAGGTTTTCTGGGCTTGAAGCCCACCAAGTCAGCTTGCACCCACTATTGGAGAAGTCAACATGGATTTTTTATTCAGGTAATGGCAAAAAATAATTTGCAGTTAAACTTGAAAAGCCACCTTACAATAGTATTTAAGGAGAAAAAGAAAAAACCAACATCAGATTACTGTTTGAACCTTTTGGAAGCCTAAACATGAGTCATAAACTTGGAAGCTGTCCCTGGTATGTCACTGTGCATGCTTGTAGCTCCTCCTAAAATTGTGAGATTTTAGATGCCTGCATTTCTTCCCCACTCCAAGATCACCTAACTGGAACACAGACAAAATTGAGACAGAAATATTTATTTCCAAGTGAAAAAAAAAATCCCTTCCTCTCCCCAGTAAAAAATGAATGAAAATAAACCAGAAAAACACAGGCACACAGTAAACCACAAAAGAAGCTTTTCCTGTCAAGGAACCTAAGTATCAGGACAACAATGTTTATAGTAACAATGAGCCAACAGACATGCTCTGGCAAATTTAGCCATGGAAGCTGAGGAAGATACTGCTTTCTCTACTGTTAAAGTCTCTCCTCCTGCCAGAAACTGTATCTCCCAAAGCCCAACTTGTGCTGGCTTGAGAACTGACATGCTTTCTCCCGCTTTTACAGCTGGAATATCAAAACCAGAAGGCATGACAGTGAAATCATAAAGGCCTACCTGCTGAGACAAAGATAACACTTTTATAAGGAGAGGTGTGGTACTGTGCTGGCATCTTGCCTGTAATGGGAGACCAAAACTGTAACCTACAAATACACACGTTCTTAAGCACATCTTTTTGTTTGGCAGCTCGTGTTTCTAACGAGAGCACTGCATTATTACAAAATCAAAATAAAGGTGTGAAATGTACAGGTATCAGCAGCTACGGGTGAAAGAGGTGCTATGATACAGAAAAGCAAATGATTCCACAAGATTTCTTACCTTGGGTCAATTACTTCTGGATAGGCACAAACTCTCAAAGTTTTCGAGTTGGAGCCAACAGCATATAAACTCCCACTGGGATGAAAGGCTACAGCTCTGACAGCTTGCGTGTCTTCTAGAGTATTAATGCAAATGAACTGCTTTTTTGATTTGTCATCCTGTGTAAAAGGACAACAGTCAAATTAGGTTCTCCATCATAAAATCGGACATTTAAAAGTGGATGCAACTGTTTTGTAGATTAATATAAGTCTATTGTACCAAAATAGCACCACCAGCCTCAACACAATTGTCTACTCCAGGTCAAGGAATAGCACACTAAAAATCAGCTCACTAACATTAGATTAACATTTATCATTGTCTTCCAGGCTTCCAACAGCTTTTGTTCTTCTAAACAGCCCATCTCAGACACATGATATTAAAGTTTACTTCTGTGTAAACATGTTTGATTTGCAAGGGGAACAAAGCTCCATTTTTACTGAAAACAGTCCAAGTCATAAACACAGTTCATAAAACAAATGTAATACTAAACATAAGAATCCGTTTTTCATCCTGTAGATACCAGAAAGCCATCTTTATCACATCATCCTCCTGACAACTTCATCACCACCTTTATCAATTTATTTCTTTTATTTATCTGATGCAGAAATTTTGGAATGTATTCATTGCAAAGTTACTTCTCTAACGTTGGACCACACTGACTGCAGTCCAGTAATCAAAGTTTCAACCTGGAAAACATAAAACAATGGACATAAAAGACATCCATTGGAATCTCTGTTGTACAAGTTGAGAGCTGGGACTGTTTAGCCTTGAGACCAGAAGGGCTTATCATGGGAATTGTGTGTGTAAATCTCATCAGTTTATGTAAGTACCTGACAGGAGGAGTGAAGAAGAAAGGAGCAAAACTATTCTCATTGGTACCCAGTAAAAAGACAAGAGGCAATGGACACAAATTGAAATACAGGAAATTTCATTTAAACTTTGTCATTGTAGAACCACTATGAGGGTGGTCAGATACAGGTTCTCCACAGAGATTATGGAGTCTCCATCTTTGGAGATACTCAGAACTTTGGGCACAGCCCCAGGCAACATGCTCTCACTGAGCCTTCTTTGGGCAGTGGGTTTGGACCCAAAATCTAGATGTCCCTTCTCAACGGTTCTGTGATTCTGAAGGTTATGCATCAACCAAAATTCATTCTAAATACCTATTAACGATGAGGGGATGTCACATGGTCAGGTTTAAATACTGAATCTCGTGAAAACACAAGTTGTGAAGAAAACTCACCTCATCTCCTCTTGTCCTTGTTAAATTCCCTGAAGAGTCTTCCAAATGGGGCTGAGTGGCAGCATGTTCTGATACGCTGTTTTAATTTGGAGAGTTTAAATTCACAAGAAGACAGGGAAAAAAAAACCTAACCCCAAACTAAGAGCAGGGACAGATTTGTTTTTAAGTAATTTTTGGACTGAATTACAGTTTCAGTCATTCTCACAAGTAATTTATGTGGACACAGGTTATTAATGTTCAATTCTTTATCATTAAACTATTATATTTACAAGGGGCTGCTCTTTTAGCAGCAGCTCTGGGCATTGAACAGTGAATGCAAGTTAAAGATATTTGTTTTCACCCTATGACATACATATATACATATACATACACACAGGGAAAAAATGGTTGCTGCTTTCAGGTCAGCACTAGTTAACAGAAAAAAGTCCCATTCCCACTCTGCCCTGCCTCTCTCTCCATCTAGCTTTTACTTCATAAAAAAAGCTTCTAGAAACTTAGTAGAACACAAAATGACAAGAACTATAAGATGGAATAAAAGTGAGAAATAAAAAATGAGCATAAAATGTAAACCATAACAAAGAAACCACTATTTCTTATTGTCCTGGGTTTACCAATAGCAGTCATTTTTTCTCCTTCTTAGTAGCTGATGCAGCACTGTGTTTTTGACTTTTGGCCTGGGAACAGAGCTGGTAACACTGGTGTTTTAGTTTGACCAAGGACTTTGTGATTCTCATGCTCTGCCAGGGAGAAGGGGAAGCCAGGAGGAAGTAGAGACAGGACACCTGACCCAAACTAGCCAAAGAGATATTCCATACCACAGCATGTCATGCCCAGGATGTAACTGGGAGTTACCCGGAAGGGCACTCTCTGCTCGGTCGGGCTCGTTTCGGCGAGTGGTGTTATACTCTCTTCACAGTATCACACAGTATGCTAGAGATTGGAAGGGACCTCAAAAGATCATCTAGTCCAATCCCCCTGCCGGAGCAGGAACACCCTTGTTATTTCCCTTATCATTATTATTATTGGTGGTAGCAGTAGTGATTTGTGTTATACCTTAGTTACTGGACTGTTCTTATTTCAACCCATGGGAGTCACATTCTTTCTATTCTCCTCCCCATCTCTCTGGGAGCAGGGAGGCTGGGGGGAGGAGGGGGGGGGGAAGGGAAGAAAGGCAGGGGGAGTAGAAACTGCATGGCTCACTTGCCGACAGGGCTTAAACCACAACACTTATGTGTACTGTTAAAACCAAAACAATTTATAAACCCTATAAAAATATTGCAAACACTGATCATGAACTAATATCCCCAATCAATGACAAATTCATTTGATAACTAAAACTATACCCTGACACCTACTCCCACTGTGTTAACAGATGGGTATTTCTAGTCCTGAACAGTCTCATATAACTTACGTCTGACTCCCCTGAACAGGTGACTCTTCAGGAAAGGGTATCTGGTTAGCTGCTCCACACTTCCGAGGAGTGCTTGTACTAACATTTTGGCTACCAGTTGTCCTGGGACTACCATCTGAAGGTGGCGTTGTGAAGTTACTTGCTGGATGGGTAGATGCATTCCCTTTGCTCCCATTACATTGCTGGCTAAGTGTTTGTACATCATTTCCAAGATTGTCCATACCTATATTTAATTCTCCTAGTTTCTGGATAGACCTAAGAATTAATGACAGGAAAAATAAAGTTCACCAAAACAGGTTATTATGAGAACTTGAGGAGGGACAGGAGTAGATGGAGGGACAATCAACAAAAAGCTCCAACCTGTTAAGAAATTGTTCAGTAAGGTTCTGTTGCTGGTCAGCTCCATCTTCTTGATTTACACCTCCTTCCAACAACATTTGCTGGTACAGCTGTCGTTGCTGCTCCTTCTGTTCTAAATGCTGCTGGTAACGTAGCCTTTGTCTGTAGTATTCCTGAAACTGCTCTGTCGAATCACGAAGCTAAAAAGAAATGAGAATTACTGATGAAAAATCGATACTTAATTGCAGAATTTAACCTAAATACTCACTTTCCGGTTCATTATTTCAGCATAGGCATCAAAAGGCCCAGCAAATTCCCCTCTGAGCAGCAATGTTGTCATTCTTACTAAAAAGGTAAATCACTGCCAGCCTGTGCTATATTTACTGTTGAATTCATTCTGCCATAATTCAGGAGGAATTCTTCTCTTTCCTACAAGACTTAAGTACTAAAGATCAAAACAAACAAGAGACTGGAAACTGATAATAAAAATGAGAAAACAGTGTAAACTACATTCCAAATTCTAAGTTCTGTTTTCACTACAAATTTAGTATTTTCTGCCACAGAAACCTCCCTGCCATCAGCAAGCAGAACTGATTTATCTCTCCCAATAGCCAGCCTTGAAGTAATCTATCCAAGCGTTACATCTTACTTTTGAAATTCGTGCCTTGTTCTAATTCCTCACTTTCTGAACCAGACACAAACACCTGAGCTGTCTTTCTCACAGCCTCTTTCCTCTCATGTACTATCTTTAGCTTCCCACATCACCATCTCCCCAGGACTCAGGGCCCAGGGCCTTCTGCATTCCCCAATCCTCACTTCTTTTTTTTGCCACTAGTTCCAAACACCACCATCATAAAACAGTTGATAACAAGGTAAGAAATGAACAGAAACAAAAACAAAAGCACTTTAGTCCAACGCTAAACTATCAACACTGAAGTACAATACATTTTATAAAAAACCCAGCCAAACTGCAGATTTACCAACCGGTAGGAAAAAAGTAGTAAAAGGTAAAACATTGGTGGGTTGGGTTTTTTTGTTTTTCCATTTTCAAAAGTGACATCTTTGTCATCTAATGATTCTAAGTGGCATAAAGACGCCCTGGTAACTTTGCATTAGTTCAACCAATTCATGCAGAAGATCCTTCTTTGTAACTACAAGCCTTCTCATTTCTTGTAAATAAAATCTCTTGCATGATGATTCTGTCTTTTCTGACACACTGATTTTAGTTTATATTGGATTTTCTGGCCCTGTTGCATTTGAAAACATTTACAGTTTTCCGTTTCCCAAGATGAACACTTGCAATTGACTAACTCAGCAGTTACCTCCAGAAATCTAGAAAGCATTAATTCTCTGTATTTTGAATATGTGAAATATTCCCCAGTCACTGAGTTATAATCCTTCTGAACAACAGGTATATTCTTTTCTATACTTCTTTCCATGACCAATATGTGTTTGTTGCAATTAGATTCAACCCTTTGATGCTCTGGATTGTGTGTCATTATTACCGAAACTAGCACCTAAATCTAAGGTATGTTGCCTAGATGTTCTCTTTAAAATCTGGCTTCTAACTCAATCCCTTCAAGAACAGTGCAAAAATAAAGCTGTTCAAGAAATTTAAGTTAATTTCTTACTTTCGCAGTATACCTATATACCACTACAATGTGGAAAACAGAACAAGGTAAAATTGGATGGGTACTATCTTCTTTTCTACTTCTGTGGAACAGTCTGGCCAACATCTTCACCTACAGCACAGCATCTTCTGTCTTCATTCTGTCCTACAAATTCTGCATCTGGATTTTTGCCTTTTGAAGCCTGATCTATTACACCTCTAGCTAAGCAATCTTCACCTTCCACTTATTCCCAATGCGCATACACAATACTGCTGCAGCAGAGAAGTTGCTCAGCAGAGTCCTTGAGGGGCGTGAAGTCCTCAAGTTTGGAGGACTTGTCTAATCCTCCAGTAGACCCCATTGCCTCACTCAAGTATCCAGAGTCTACAAGAATATAGCCCTGTGAAGACTAAACTGGTTTTCATTACCATATAGATGTCATAAACTAAGGCAAAGTCTCATTAAGAAAATCAAACTGGAGTCTACAAAGAAGACTGATTGCATACTCGATGTTTTTCATCATTCCTGAATCAAGAAACAGATATTTAAAGCTGTGGAAAAAGACAGGTAACTTTATCCTATTGAACTGTTCTTTCACTGTCACCATATTGCTGTTAAGGAGAAAAAACAAAAAAGGATAGTCAAGGCACAAGCCTTCAAACATGAACCCAAAAAAAAGGTTATGATATTGGATTCTGAGTAGCAAAGGCAAAATTGGATAATTCCCTACAAAATGTAACTTCTGTGTCCCAGACAGAAAATTATGCAAGATGACCTTTGGAATTTGGTATTAACACCAAAAATGACAGGCTACACATCAAACTCCTCACTAAAACACTAAGAAGATTCTCAAGCATTGTTGAATGTAACACTGCAAGCTTGCATTAGACTCAAATGACAGCAGATATTTCTACATAAAATAGTAGATTCTTATAGCTTTCCTACTATAGTAAAAACAGGATTCAAAGCAATCCATTGTCATGCATGAAATTCTTAACACAAAGGCAAATTATTATGAAGTGATCAGAACCCAGCTCCAAGCGCCTCATTATTTTTAAGCTAACAATCACTACCTCATTTTTCTCTTGTTTGGCTGATCCCTGACTCTGTGCTCCATTAAGTGGTTCATTTTCTGGAACTGAACTCTGGCACGAAGTCTCACTGCCGATGGGATGCTGTTGTTCCACAGGAGTATCGCTTATTACAGCAACATGGAAAAGAAGAGAAGCTTAGTTGAGAAAATATAAGAGTAGAAAATCCCCTAGTAAGTACAGAAATATAACATTCTAGAGTAAAACCTGATTAACACAAGTGTGCAAACTACTTATGTCACAACACAGAAGACACATATGAAAGTGCAAGAGGCACTTTTTCCCTAAGAAATGGCTTGCACCAAATTAAATAAACCCCTAACAAACAAAAAGCACAGCCAGCCAATGTGCTTTGTTCCCACATTTTCCAAAAAGCTGTACCACCATGGGGTAAACAAATTCCTTCGTTTCTACCCTTTCAGTTGATTTATATACCCTGTAACGAACAACTTATTCAAGATCCTCTATTGTCAAACAATTACATGCATGGAACACAGGCTATGTGACTAATGTCTTCTACAAGATAATAGTTTAATTACCACTACCAATCTAAATTTAAGCTCCACCTAAACTGAACTCCACCTAAATTTAAGCTCACTCTAAACTGACCTTCATTGAACATTCCTGGAAGTGCTACGAAGGAAAATGTTTATGCAAGTTTTGCTATTCGCTCATTATACAAGTATTTCTGCATGGAACAACCAGTAAGTGTGCAGAACACATTACGAGTCTTGGATTCCCATCTTCATGTTTGTCAACTTAAAGCCCTCTTCACTGACTTGGAGCAAAGCTCTTTAGGAATTTATCTTAAACTTTCTGGGTATCTCTGTATAAACAACAGTAACTTAGCTGACTAAAAGACAAGTAATTACTTGCTGAATACGACTTCTAAGAGAAATACCATGTGCATCAGCGTGATGAACCAAGGGCTAGATTTATGTATCACTCAGCTTCTGAGCATCTACCCTTGCAAATATTGCCATTTAAGTTGGACACTTAATCTGAAATTGGATTTTCTGCTGAAAAATGTAATGCATTTTCGAAAACTATGAACCCCTTAAGCTAATTCTAATCTTCAAGAGATGTGTTAATAAAAAAACGTGTTAAGAACAACAAATGTCACAACATTGCATGAAAATGCTTACACAAATAAGAGCTGTGGCAAGTTACCACTTTATTTTGCTCACAAGATAACTCTGAGCAGAATTATTCTAATACTGACACGGGAAACATACATTAGTGTAAAAATTTCCATTATCATTGGTGAACTGACATAAGCACACTGTTGTTGGGTTTTTTCATTGAGTTTAATTACAGCTGCTGTCAACCTTAACACAAGATTATTACTGTAAAGCAAAACTACTAGACGATTTCACCAACTGGAGCCAGAATTAAGCACCACAACTCTAAGAGCATCCTCTGCTGGCCAGTGCAACCAAGTGCAGAGCTAGGTACCCCTGATTGCCCCAGAGCTAAAAAATCTGGCAGCTGCTTTCTAGAGAAGTATGGATATAACATTTAGAAATGGACTAACAGCTGATCTAGACAAAGGCCAAGCAAAACCATGATGGTAAGTTCTTAATTTACAAGTACCATTTCTTTTATTTACCTAGACTTTGCTCTCAGAGCATTAAAAGCACAAAGTTTTGATACAGACTTCAGTTCTTAAGGAGAGATGTCAGTTTTACTGTCTACATTGCATTTATAATTATATTAATAGCATTCAACACTATCATAACACAACTATTTCCAAGACAAATATAAAACCATTATATATTCAGCTGCCTTATTCAGACTTGTTTTGGAAAATAAGTAAATATTTAAGCTGAACTACTACTGTAACAATTTAAGTGATGGAGAAATGCTGCCAAAATGGCACATAGTCATTTCCACTGACTTCACTGGGACTATTTCCATATGTAAATTTCTGAAGTATACTTAATCATTTAGACCAAAATTTAGAGGCACTTGAGGTCATAATGAGATAGAGAAAGAAGACAAAAGTTACAGCTATTCCATTGTTTCCCTTTAGTTATCTGGAATGAAAGAATTGAGTAATACTGAACACAAATCTTAGCTAGGCTTTATTACATAATTCAAGCTGATCTGTGCTCTGCGCTAGGATTTCAACTTTATTAAAGTCCAGATTGAACCCATAAGGCTCAAGATAAAATATAGAAATCTACTTTGATCATAAGAGCATAAGGAAGAAAATTCCTCATATTCATAGTTTTGATTACAACAGATTTTTAACAATCAAATCATGTTTCAATGTTACAATCATGTTCAAAGTTACAGTGAAGGCAATAACCCACTAATACAAAATGCAACATAAGCCAAAGTGAAACTATAGCTTCAGTTGTGCTTACCGCTCAGGTGACTCCTCAAAAATGCTGTGACATTCTGTATTCTCAAGCATGAGACTTCGGCTGAGATTCTGTACTCCTGGGTAGTGGAAATTAGCAAAGGAGTGCGACATTGGAGAAGTTTTGGTCCCAAGGTCTGTGACTCGCTTATCATGACTTGTTAATCCACATGACAGCCCATCTAAGGCAGGGTTTAAGGAACGGGTCATGTAAGCGTCTGCTGACTGAGGCCGTCTCATTGGGGATGATGGGTATGGAGAAAGTTTGCTGATAAGAGGTGTCAGAAGATCAGCATAGGCAGCTTTTGTAGGCTTGAGGAGTTTATCAACATGAATATTAAGCATCTTCTGTTCAAAAGCGCAAGAAAAAACAGTTGCTGGCAGATTCTGAAGCCATGATAATAAGCTAAGGTCCAAGTCATCACACCCATTACCACACAAGAGATCAATGCCCAGCAACACTTCACTTTCTGTGATTTCTTCTCCTGTTGCTTTACTCTGACAGAATTCCACACAACATTCATAAAGCAATCCCTTCATTACAAGCTGAAATAAACGATTGTTACTTGCTTTGAAACCAGCCTCGCTCAGTTTCCTATCAGCAGGAATAAACTCTGCCACCATGATGCAGGCTTCTTCAAAGCAGTGAACCCGTGCTGTGCTGGGATTCCAGTCCTTGAATTCTGCGTGGTTGGTCAAGCGAGGCAGGGTCAGTAGCAAGCAGAGTTTACTGTAGTCTTCCTTAGAGGGACAATATTCTTCCAACGCATGTAGGCACTGTACAGCCTCTCGCATTGTAAATTCCAGCTACAGAAACATTAACAGAGTAGTTTGTAGTACACGTTACAATAAAACAGTTGCAGAAGAAGCTGTAGCAGAAATTCTCCACTATCATTCCTTTATTACTGTTTATATTTTAATTAAAACAGCATACTGAGTCTGGAATTGCTGATGCAAATGTTACAACACAGACAAATTTCAGAGTGCTTTAACTTCCCACCCAGTCCCATTTTCTTCATGTCACTCCAGGTTTGACAGGCTTGAAATGGTAAACCTGTACTTACACACATTCAATTATTCTATAGTACAAAAAGTTACTTCCATTCTCAAAGCCAACTGACTTATTTTCCCATTCCTCCTTTTTTTTATTTATTTTATAGAAAGCTATTGGAATGAGTGATAAATGGCTTCAAGACTTGTCTATTTTCCGGTGTTTAGCAACTCTGAGTTGGCTTTTATATTGAGATTTTCTATTCTTCAATCAAAAAAATGTTAAAAAAGTTCTCAGACGATAAGACCTGCAAAATGAACAGAAGGCTTTCAAGTACAAAGCTTGTTGACAGCTAAAAGCCAAGACCATGTTAAGTACACGGAACTTGGCAATTTTAGTTACAAAGATTTAAAAAAATAATAAAACTCCCACTTAACCATGTTACTTAGCATCTGCTTGACACAGCAGCCTTTCATCCACAACATGCCAACAGATTTGGTAACACTCAAAACAAAAAATAAAGGACAGAAATCTGAATTCCCCTCCCCTCTGCTGCTATCTAGTAACAGGACGCAGATTAAGTGATTAGAATACACATTCCCTTTACAACTACAAAGCTAGACTTACTTTCAGCTTTCTCTACTCCATCAGGAGAAAACCCTGCAGTACAATATATGTATAATGGGACAGAATTACAATCAACTGAGTTTGTAAAATGAAATCAATTGTCTTAAGACTACTGGAATTCTTCTATTTAATAACTTTTCTGCCAGAAATTTGCTATTAATCTATTAGAACATATATGAAAAACTAATTTCGCAATCTGCACATCTTCTTTGCCAACTTGAGTTGACATCTCTTTCCACATTGAAAGACTAAGTTCATAACTCCTGCTGATTGCACATCTAATTGAATCAGCCCTTTGTGAACCCATCTGTTCCCTCCAAATAAACAGCTGTGTCCTTTCTCTCTAAAAGCAATGGAAATTAAGTTTAAGATGAATTCTAATTGAAATTTTTCACCACTTGTAACAATATATTTCTGTGATTCTGAGGTTTGCTTCAGAATACTTTTGAAAAAAGAACCCTGTACTTCAGCATAATGGCCTAAAGGACACATGAGGATCAGGACCACAAACAAACACAGTGTATGCTGCTAAGTTTGAAGTAACCCTTGTATATACAATTGTATTTGAGAGCTGGGAACCACATTCATTTCCAAAGGATATAATTTTTTTTCCTCATTGTTCATAAAACCATTTGCTAACAGCTAAAATGTATGTATTCAGAGCTAGGAGCTTCTGCTGTGCCTTTAACCAGAATCTCCCAAGAGGTTTCCTTACAACAAAAATCCTAAACAAGAGACAATTCTTACATGCTGAGGCTCATCTTCTGCTGACATCGCATTGTTTACACATAAGGCTTCCAAAAACTTCTGCTTCATTATGATGTAACGAAATCTGCAGGTGAGAAATGAGATCTATATGTCTCGATACAGTAGCTGAACATTCTTTTAGAGACAAGCAAGGTATTTTACAGCATATTTTTGAGTTAGGCACAGAAATTGCAGCGACAATGAATTCTGATCTCAAATTCTAACAAACTGGTAACCACAAAATTCTATATTAACAGAAAATGCCTTCTTCAACAATTGCTTTCAGAAATATTAAAATATTAGAAGGCTAATACGAAAAAAGCATAGTAATCATACTAATTTCTTCCAAAGAAATATGGCAGACAGTAAACTATAAAATGACACCACAACATGCACCACACTCCTGAAGTGTATGGAAAATGAAAACTTGCTACAGATTGTATGCACATACTTTCTATAGTTTATGTTTAAAAGCACAAGCACACACTGTAGGAACTGTAGAGATTAGAAAAACTCCATAAACTAAGGTGAAAGTTTTATAGCTACTGGTTTAATCCACAATACTTGGAAATTCATGTATATTCCACAGCTCAAAAAATTCTACTCTGACACATATTCTATTTTACCTTTTCTTGTCGAATTTTTCCATACATTCAAGAGGCTGAATAAATTGAAGAACCTCGTCCCACTGACCATCAAGAATCAACTGCCTGTTAAAAGAAAGAGTCACTCCTTCAATTTTACTGGGCAAGGACACCCTTCTTTCCAAGTAAGTAGCCCATTTAAATAAACAGCAGTTATTTAAATATACAACAGGTGATCAACCTGCTCTGAAAAGTTAACGCTTTGCACAGATGCCAAGATGACTGACTGATGCGACTATTAAGAACAACAAAATCCATACCGTCTCTCAGTATTTTGTATTAATTACTGCATACTGGAAGAACAAATACTAGTTACTCTTAAAGGCACATCAAAAATGACAAAATGCTCCAGAAATGACAAAATCAATCTTACAAGGAAGAGTATGAGTAAATAACACTGCTTCAATGAATACATCCTGAAGAATGAAAGCAGACTTGAAAATGAGTGATTTTTAATTGCATAAATACTGCTGGGCCTATTTTATAAAGGGATGGGTTGGGGTGAGGAACACACAGCTCTCAGACTAACAGAAGAGCAACAACTTGGCAGGAACTATGCCAGCACAAAAACTCCAGCTCCAAGACCAGCAGGGCTAGACTGTACAGGTGGATTAGTTCAATTTCTTCATACCCCCACATCACACAGTTCTCTATAAAAGGCCCTGATCTACAAGGAAGGGGCGATTTTATTATAAGATGTATACTCTAACTAAGGCAGAATCAAACAAGCAAATAGGATTAATAACTTCAACTGAAATCTTCTTTAATTTCATTCCAATATCTGTAATTTTAATCAAAAGTGAAGCCAGGTGAGAAATTCTGTTCAGTGATTAAATTAATTTTTAATGTCTTAAGAACAGCTGAGTAAATTATTTTCTCATGCTTCCACAAAGTTCTTCGGCATGAAATACAGAACAGCAGTGCTAAAGAAAACCTACTGTGCATCTACAGCAACTCCTTTTAATAATTTTAAGGGCAATAACCTAAATGGTAAATTGCACCAACTTTCATGCCTTGCCGATAACAGAGACCTCCTTCATATTGTTAAATTTAAAATAAATCTCTGTAATACTTTGAAATGCAGGTAATATTTTGGGGGAAAATCTCTGTAAGCCACTGCACTCATTCTAGATCTTAGCACTAGAATATTCTAAAAATATTTTATTTTAGTAGTTAATAACCTACACATTCAGTTCCATGTGACATCGTAAGCAGATAGTATCAGATCACTGACCAACAGATCTTGCTCTCCCATCTTATTCCTGCTCATGAGCTTTCTCTCACTTTGCACTGAAACTTTTTTAGACCTGATCCCACTTTAATTCATTATTGTGCCAGAAAATAACCAAGTTACAATAAACAAACAAGCAAACAAACAAACAAATCTATGTCAACCCATGTTGATGACTCCTAGTCTATTACTTCAAGTGGCTCTAAGAAACATGTCATTAACTTCAAAGCTGAAATATGATGCAGGGCTGGGCCAAAGAATTGGGATCAGGAAGAAGTAGAATAAGATGAGGGAGTAACACCTCCTGTTTAGTGGCATGGGGCTGCCCACAGAATCACAGTCCCACTCTACATTTTCATATACATGGTATTGAAGCACTAGAGAAAGAAGTCTTACCTTAGAAAAAGCATGTCATCTGAAAACAAGCCATTAATGACCCCACTTTCTTTCTCAAGTGCCAGCATGCTGATATGAAGTTTCCTTGAGTTCAGAAAATCTAGTATTAGTTTTATTATTTCAGCTTCTTTAACATTTACTGTTTCTTCAGCCGTCATGATGGCAGCCTAAATTGGAAGAGAGAATTTTAGCTATGTTCAGTATCTTGTTTTATGCTTGGCTAAGAAATGTTGGCTAGTAAAAACCAACCAAATGGTTTTATAGGACAGAGTACCACAGCATTACAAAAATTCAACAGACAAGATTGGGAAATTTATTTTAAGAGTTTAATTATGAAGCCACAATTAAAATCTAACAATGTATCTGCATGTATTTTTATTTGTCCTACACATAACATGCCACCAGATAAACAAATCTACCAGAAATCAATCCTCCTGCAGCATGAAAACATTATTATTACCAAGTATGCAATATGTAAAATTTTCCTTTCTGAAATGCAAACAGCAAAGTTCAAAGAGCATAAAAGTCAGCCAATTACTTTGTCATTATCTAGAGAACTTACACATAAACTTAAATACAGAAAAGACAGCACACTAAAAATGCAGTCTCCCCCTTCCCATTTTTTGAAGTAGTGTATGACAATTAAGGCAGAGGTTTTCTTCCTTCATAAGAAGGAAGAATGAAAGGAAGGAAGAACCTAGCTCTGTCTAAACACTTCATGAAGAATCTGAAGCTGCAAACCCAAGGTGGCTTAAGCCAGCTTGAGCACTGACTGCCAGAGTCCCCTTCACTCACCCGACTCCAGCTGCATGTTCTGACCCTTCCTCAGCACTCCTCACCTGGGTTGTTGGCTCAGCCTTCCCACCAGCTCATATGCTGAAGTGGCTCAATGGTCTAATGAGCTCTCCAGCCAGCAGAAAGGAAAATCAGGAAGACGCAGCTGGGAGAGTGACAGGACAAGGCTCTGGCTATTGGCAGTCAGCTTGTTAAAGCTCCCATGGATACAACATCCAAGCTCCTTTGCAATACAATTCCTCCAAGGATATGAGAGTTTTAGCATGTGGTTCTCTTAGGAAACCTGAAATGAATTTTATTTCTGGCTAAGCCTTAAGTCTGACTTAAAGTAGAAGCTGTTCAGCTTTTCATATCTTTTTAACCTTCATTTTTTAACCTTAAAAACCTTTAAACCTAAAAACCTTTACAGCTGTAGCTCCTAAGTTGATCTGCTGAAAACTACCTGGGGATGTGTAGAAAAACCCTGTAATACAGCCAAGTCACACAGCATAGCCTCATCAGAGTGCTTCAGAAAAAGCTAGCAGCTACAAGAGTGCAATTTCATGTAAGGAGGAGTTCAGTTTAAGCCCATGTTACTGCAGAAAGGGGCAGTCCCTCTTCTCACCTCTGCACTCAGCCATACATCACACTTCATGGCACCCCACACAGAACTGCGTGGCTGGCCAGATCACCTCTCTGATCCAGGCACAAGTTATCACTCTGTGGACACCAGGGAACTAACACTGACGGAACTGACAGAGCTTTGTTTTCTGGCAGCAGCCACATCTTAACCTGACTAAAACTGATTATGAGAACGCACCAAAGAACAGAAAAGAAGCCACAATCAGTGATGAACCATCAATAACCCAAGGAAAAACGAGAGATCATAACAGTGATCAGAAAAATTAATGGAGATAAACTTAAAGAGGAAGATGCCCACAGCAGTAATTACCCCAGCTGATCTCCTTTTTAATTCCAAAGGGGAAATGGAAACACTACTTAATTCCTTCACATAATCATTTACTTATGCAGAAATTTGGCAACTGCAACACCCAAAGACAAATAAGTGTGGATAACGCAGCTCCCAAGACAAAAATGAAGAAATGGTGCAGACCCCAGACACCTCAGCCTTGGCAAACTGCAGTCCATAAACTAGTTATCCATCTCATATTAGCAAACATGCACAGAAAGTGGTAAACAGAAATCAAAGAATACATATAAGAAGTTTGAATAAGTAAGCCACTCATAAATTATTAACAACAAATTATTTATTTACTGGAGAAGAGCAGAAGAGAAATACTGTAGTGAAGCTTCTCACTGATCATCATAAACCAGTGCTCATGAACTTCAAGTGATACAAAAAAGTAGGCATTAATAACAGGGGTTTGTATTAATCATCTATATCCCCAAGTTCTCCCATCTTCCTCAAGTTGTATGCCTCTTTTTTCCAAGTAAGGCTTTGCCAGAACATTTGACCAGGAAAGCATTTGATTATAGCAGCATAGTTTATTCTGGGACAAGGGAGACCTAATTGTGCCAGATGGAATGGCCTTACTTCTCTTGTAAAATAGCTGGGCTCAGTTCTCATTTCAGGCACTGAACACTCCCATCACCAAGCACTGTGACGGGTCTCATGCAGGACACCCTAGAGACCACGAACCCACTCTCAGCTAGTAAAGTCAGAAATTAAAATCTGGCTTGCAGAAAGCTTTGCTGCAGGAAAGAAATCAGACACATAAATCCAAAGCCAGAATTTGTAGAAATATACCTTTTCCTTACGTTTTAGCAGTGTTTCAACTTCCCCTTTCAGCAACTGGATATGGATTTTTTGTTTCAGAGAAAAATTTAATCCTACCTTACACAATGAAGGAAAGGGGGGGGGGGGAAATCAACACAAATTTAACCAATGGCTTATAATTAACATCTTAATTCCCCAAATCCCCCTAATGCACTTGCATTTTTTCTCCTTTTTTTTTTTTATTTCTGCACGGGTGGGTTTTATATAAATCAACCAAATTCATTTCCTTGCCAAAGTAAAACTACTAGAAAAATTCAGACTAAGACTCCCTTTGAAGAAAGGAACTCCAAGCCCAGCTTTGTTTTCAACTGGATCTACTGGACTTAAGACTAAATAGGAAGTCACTCTACAGAGTTTCAGTATTTTCTTAACAGTAATTATTTATATAATCTATTGATTTAAAAAGAGAGCGTAACACTCAGTACTTTGCTTCAGAGTACAACTATATTAAGCAAAAATCAGCACCTGTAAAAAGCTGCCCTCTCCACTGTAGTTTTAAAATAACAGGTTTGTCCTGAACATAAAGCCTTTGCCAAGTCTAACACTTTATTTATATTGCTGTCCTGGGTTCAGCTGTAACAGCTATTTTTCCCCTTCCTAGTAGCTGGTGCAGTGCTGTGTTTTGGCTTTAGTCTGATAACTCACTGGAGTTTTAGTTGTTGCTCAGTAGCACTTACCCTGCTCAAGGACTTTCCAGTCTCTCACCCTTTGCTAGTGAGGAGGGGAACAACAAGCCAGGAGGTAGCAGAGACAGGACACCTGACCCAAACTAGCCAAGGGTTATTCCACACAATAGCATGTCATGCCCAGTATATAAACTGGGGGATGTCACCCAGAAGGCCCAGATCACTGCTTGGGTATTGGTCAGTGAGTGGTGAGCAACTGTATTGTGCATTACCTGTGCTTATTGTTGTTTATTTCCATTTCCTTTTTAGTTTGATTTTCTCTCCCCTTATTTCCCTTATCATGAGTAGTAATAGTTTTATACTATACTTGCATTATTGGACTGTTCTTATCTCTATGGGGTTTAAATTCTTTCCATTCTGCCCCCATCCTGCCCAGAGAGGGGAGAGAAAATGGGGGGTGAACAAGAGGCTGCATGGTTCTGAGTTACTGGCTGGGCTTAAACCATGACAATTACCCATACAAATTAGGAAAAAGGATGATGGGCCACCCTCCATATTTGATATGGGACTAGTCACAGCACTTCTGCAGGCCTGTCAAGAAAGATGTAATATCCAAACATAGTTTGGATACTGAACTTCAGCAGAGTTAAAGTACAGTGTTAAGCTCATACATTAACAGTATTATAAATATATTCAATGTGCATGTGCTATCAGAGCAATACAAATAGCTAGAGAAGAACAATAAATCTGCTGGAGATTTTCATGTAGTCAATGGGTTTCTGGCTGACGAGCTCAGACTTCTCTTATGAGCATTGTGCTGTCAAAGTAATAAGCAGCACTGTAATACTATCATAAAATTATAAAAATACACAGGCTTACACGTCACCCCTACCAGTTTTTCTGACATTCAGCAATATGCATATATGTGTATAAATAAAAATAATAATTAAAAAGTAAAGAACAGCAGGGAAACTCAATTATAGAGCTCAAGCTGTATCTTGGTTCATCCCACTATAGTGCTTTCTGCCAGCCCATATGGCACATAACGTCACAATCTGATCAGCTCAAGCACTAATACTCAAGAATGACTGGAGCACAGCATTAGCTTGCGGTATAAATGAAAGTGAATAAGTATTATAGCATAACATATCCAGTGCCTTCTATTAACCAGGTTTTGGCTACAATGCTTATCTTACCCAGTCTTTCCAGAACTGTACTTTTCCACACCTGTCCTTTTTTTTCTCCCATCACTCCCCCTTATCATCTTCTCCTAGTTCTGTATTTAAATTGCTTTTCCTCCTAATAAATCTGCATCAATAAAAACAGACACACTTCTCACCACAAACCCTGGCACAAGTTTTCTCTACATCTTCAGCAGACAACATGTCCTTTAAACAAGCTGTTTGTAACACAGGCTGCCTACTCCTAAACTTTCCAGAGAGAGGTTTCACCCTTGTTCTGTTCTTACTCATGCTCTCAGAACACGCCAACAGCAAGCACCCTCTCATGGTGTTGCAAGCACAGCAAACAGTATTTAAAAAAAGAATAGTTATGCACAGAAATACACTAATTCGGAAAAATCTTTATGAATTTTAAGTGTCAAAAAATAGTCACTAACCAGCCTCCCTTTAGATTATATCTCTTAAAAGAAATTTAAAACGTATAGGCATTAATATACTAGAAGGCTGAAGTAACATTTAATGTTCTGGAAATACAAGTAAATAGGGAATTCTAAAATAAATGTTATTCCCACATTATTTATTTTTTGAAATACATCACTCATATAATACACATTCACAGAACAGGGCAAGGAATATAAAACCTCTAATTACTCAGAAATACAAGAATAAAATATCAGAGTTCAAATCTGGAGTGTCACACTGACAGCAGTGATACGTTTAAAGGGAGAAGCAATGCCTAGTTAGAAGTCTTGGTTCACTGACTTCAATGACAGCTGCAGTGCATATCCATAACCTCAGCATCTCTGTGAGCTATGTCACAGAAAAACCAAACGTGAAGAAGAAATACATATTAAAAAAGCTAGCTGCTTTGCTTCAAGTTATTTTACCTTTTAATCCATTCCACAGTCACTTACATATGGATCTTGGGCCAGGCGAAAAACCACTCTTGAGTTCTGGCTACACAGACCCCGTGAGGGACTCAGGCCCAGCGAGTTCTTAGTGGCATTTTCTCATGTGCCCTCAATCACCTTCCAGCTATTCCACACCAAAAGATTTTGAAAAAAACCCAAACAAGCCTACAAGCCATTTATTTTCTGTTACAACTGTTTTCCAAACAGTTAGTACAACTCACTGAAACCCACTTCACTCCAAAAGAAAGCACAATTCATTATTTCAAATGAACTACATTAAGCACATTAAGGCCTTAATAGAAAACCTTCACCAAAGTTTGCCCAGCTGAACTCTGTAACTGAAACCTTTTTCTGCTCTACCATACAGCAACCAAGTGCCCTCTTATCAGCCTTTTCTTCCTCACACAGGTTTTTCACTAGCTTGCCCTCTAGTAACCCTTTTTTTTTTTTTTACCCTGCTTAGATCAGCTGTTGCTTTAGATCCACCACAGCAACCCTTATCTCACTATGCTTTGGAAGTGACTGGCAGAGCTCTTTGCCTTCATCAATCCCGGTTACAACATGCACGTTCTTTATCCACACCTTTCTGCACCATGAATGCCAAAAAGGTGACATTAAATTATACAATACTTCCATGTTAAATTTAGTAAAATGAAAAATCCAAACAAGTTACAGACTAGCAATGAATATATTTCGGCTTAAAAAAAAACCACCAAACCCCACACTTGCTCCAGTCTTTTTTCCTCTTCACATGCAATTCCAGAGGAAATCCAGCTCTTATAAAGAAAAGGCTCGGAGCAGCCGCACTAATTACACAGCGCCGAGCCCGAATTAGCATGTGGGCAATGTCAGCTCAGCACCGGCAGGGCCGCAGCAGAGCCGACGCTCCTCTGAAGCGGCCCCGCTGCCAGGGCACACCCCTCGCCCGCCCCGGGGCAGGGGCGCCGGCAAGCACCGAGCCGGCCACCGCGGCCCACCGGCCAGGCCCGGCCCGGCCCACCCGCGGGTGCCACAACAAAGGGACGGCGGCTGTCGGGCGTCGCCGGCAAGCCGCGGCGATGCTCCCCTCGGCCGCGGGCCCATTAGCATGGCCATCCCCGTACGACGGAGACGGGGCGCGGCCCCTCGACAAGGCAGCCCCACGGTCTCCGGGGCGCCGGGCAGCTCCCACCTCACGCCACTGCGGACGCAGACCCGGACTCACCGCCCCGTACACTCACGCGGCCCCGGCTTCTCGTCCTCCGTCCCGCCCCCCGACACTCACCTGAGGAACCCAGCGGGCCGTTCGCGCAGCACCAACGGGGCGTGAGGGAAAAGATGGCGGCAAGCCTCACTGCAGGGTGGGGCGGGCCCGGCCCGGTGTCAGGGCCTCACTCCGGTTCCGTTCCGTTCCGCTCTGCGGCTCCCACCCGCCCTCACCGCGGACTGCCGGCGGCGCGGCGCCGCAAGACCCTCCCCGCGCCGCACCCGGGCGGGGTGCCCCCGCCGCTGCCTGACTGGAAGGCGACTGGGGCGGGCGGGGCCGCGCCGGCTGGGCGTTGCCGCGCCCGAGGGCGGGTGGGTGGGAGGGGCCGATGGTGGCGGTCGCCGCGTTAAGGCGGGTGGGGTTAGCTTTGTTAGCGGCGGGGCGAGCCCCAAGGCTGAGGTAACCACGGGAGGGGGAGCAGCTGTCGGCCCCGGCTCAGCGGAGTCCTCTCGCGAAACTTCGCGGCGGCTCCGGGCCTGTCCCGAGGGAGCGGCCCATTGCGCCTTCGCCCGCCGCGTTCCTAGGGAACGGCTGTCTAACGGGGAGTGCGGCTCTGGGAATAACTTACAAACACGCCCCTCGTCTCCGGGGCGGGTGTCCCGGGCTCCTCATGCAGCCCCGGCCCTTCAAAAGGCTCCTTCAGCCGCTCGGCTCTCCGCGCTGCCCGCCGAGCCGCCAGGTACCGCCCGAGCGCCTCCCGGGTATCTAAAGCCACATAACAGCAGGTGCACCGTTCCCCCATTGGATGGGGATTGCCGTCAAGCTCTGCCACAACCGGGTTTCCTTCGCTCGTTGGCGACAGCTTTAGTGCGTGAGACGCGGCCACATTTCGGGCCAGCCGAGGGGGTTTGTGGTGGTTCTGCTGTCTTCTGCTTCCTACAAAAGAATGCGTTCTTCACAGAAATCATATGTATGCGTATGGTGTATATATTATGAAGATGTCTTTCTACGTATAAATTGTCATTTGGTTGGATTTTACGCGGTTTTTGTAACTCAAAATTATGGCGTCTGAGAATTACCATGGTGAACAGCTAATACGCTTTCTCAGTATTTAAATACAGCTATGAGATGAGATACTAAAAATCACATTAGAGCTCTAGTACACTTGGGCAAACCCCCTGTGTGTATGCTGCAGCACATTGGCAGGCCCTGGCAACATAAGGATGTGACAAGTCACTGACAAAGGATGTAGCAAAGATCAAATTTTATGTTTTATTAATTTTTTCATCATGATACAGAGATATGTCCTGGCTGAAGGCGGTCCAGTGGGGAGTGCAGCCTGGCTGCACAGCAGTGACAAGCAAGGAATCGGGAACTTAATGATTCCTTCTGCAACACTCAAGTCGCAGCATCGCATCCCAGGAAGCAAGACTTACCAGTAAAGCACCAAATCCTGATGTTTACTTATAAAGCTACCACTTGTTGCTCGGTTGCCTTTGGAGGCACTAATTAATAGAAAATGTAATTATAGAAATTCTTGATTCTGTTTCCCAACATATTAGGATATAACAGAGCTGATAAATCAGAGGGAGTGCAGAAAACCAAGATGACTTTAATTGTCTAAATAGAGCAGTATGTATAACTTTGCTGAATGTACGCTTGGGTAAGACAAGTCAATTGTAAATTAGGTTTAATCTACAAAACACTAGGTGAACACACATATGCTTTTAAATTTAATCTCAATTTCACAGTGATGTTACGGTGGTTTACCTTTCTTTTGTACAATAGCTTTGTTTTCCGTGAAGGTCCTGAGATGAAATCCGTTTCCTGTTCTGAATTTCAGGCCCTTCACAAGGACGTAGCAGATTCCTATAGGCTGGAAGAGATTTCAGGAACCAAGTATCCAGCCTCAAGAAAATGAATGGAAGTATAGGTAGCATTACTAGGTGCACAATACTACTCTTTAGTGAGGGTACATTGTGGCATCTTGTTGGAAAAGGGCAGATGAAAGACCCTGTTCTTTGCTAGTTCCTAACTTCAGTCAGGCATGGAAATACGTCCTTGGACTGGTCTCCGCTTGTTTTGGACTCCCTAGTCACTGTTGCAAAGCAGGTAACTCCCATGAATAGCAGCGCTGATGGGTGTGGGTTTTAGAGAGCTTGAAAATCAGGATTAGGAGAGGAATTCTGCATTGCCTACTGACAATACAGAGCACTGCAGTCTGCAGGCTGACCTTGGCATGCTTGAGGAAGTAAGACAGTCACTGTGTGACCTTTTTACAGCTGTTGCAGGTGGCTGCAGACCATGTCAGCAGGGCTGGATATGTTCTTAGAACTGCTCCCCAGCGCTAACTTGGCCTAAGATCTGACAGTGGAGTCCAGCAAAGCATCTTTGTACTGTCAGCATAAAAATAGGCCAATCCCCTGATCTGTAGCCATTGTAACAGAGCCATTCAACTCTTTACATTTTATGCTATGTTCAAATGGTCTTTTGAAAAGGTGAAAAAAATGAAATCTGTTTAAAACTTTACTTCTGGAAACAGTTTTCACTCATTTCAAGAAAGGATTTCCAGAACTTGGGGGTGACAATTCAGCAAAATTCTTACATAAACTATAGCAGAATTGTTTATGTCAGCATCACAGCTCCAGTTTCAAGTAGTTCAGACAAGAAAAACACCAAGCCAAAGTGTAATCTGGCTTTGGGTAATTTAAATAATTGCAGGCTTGTGGGGCCTTGCCAGGTCTTGTAATGCAGACATTTAGATCAGTGATGATGTAGAAAGAATAAGACAGAGCTGCCTTGATGGAAAGCTTCATATTAGCTTTGAGTCCTTCTGCAAAGCTCCATTAAGAGATTAACACTGACATAAAAATGCCCATAGACACTACTTTGTATGTTTCCATAAAGTTCCATACCATTACCTGAAAATTTAAACACATTTTATGTGAAAAGAAATTCCTTCAGTGCTTTGCTTAACAAATGTGTCACTGGATAATGACTTACTCCTAAGTATTTTAGACATTCAGCTGTTTGTAATGTTGAGTTAGAGTCTGAAGAAAGTTTTAAATAACATTTTTCAGTGGAATGCTTAACTCCCTTAAGGTTTTTGTCCTTTCTTGAAATCCTAGTTACTAGCTTTTCAGATCAGAGGCAGTTCTGTCTGGCATCCAGCAGTGTTATCCTTGAATTCAGAAATTTGAAAAAAAGGCTGGCATTAAGCATTCCATTTCCCAAAGAGTTTGTACTGAGCTCTTAAACGTCTGTGTTGTGTATCACTTCCCTGCCTCTTACAAAGACTGTAGTTCCAAGTGCGAAGCGGACAAGGTAGCTGATTTTCTGTCTTGCTAGAAGGAATTTAAGCTAGTGTAACTTCCCTACTGTATCTATCTCTTTGCTGTGGTTGTCTAAATAAAGGGTATTTCTTAGATGTGGAAGCAAGTAAATCTGCAAGTGTATGTGCATTTATATGTATTCATACACAAACACAATTCATATCTTTTTTTTCCTAAATAGTTAACTTTTAAAAACAAAGTACTTATAAACAAAGATGCTGTGCATGTTAAAAATACTTTTTTTCTGCCATGGAGAACTGAAATAAGATAATTTATGGGTTTTTTTTAAAGGTTTTTAATTAATTAGGAAATGTACAAGCAGCTGGAAGGGGCTGTGGCTGTCAAGATAGATCTTTATAGCCTAAATTCTTCAAAGTACGTATTAAGTTCATTAAATTACTAACAAGGCAGCAAAGAAATGCTAATTCGCTGTTTGAAAAGATAGATGTAGTTAAAGGTTTTGCCCTTATAAAGCCTTGTTTTTATTAATTTATTAAAGAAGAAACATCCACACCTGATCAATACAACTGGATTTGAGAATTAAAGCCATTTTCTGCATCACCTCTGAGTGTGCTTGATCCAAAAGCTTAGGTTCTGAGTGTAACCAAGATGATTATTGTGCAGTTGGTGATAGAAGATATCTGCTGTCCTCGCTGGATCCCACAGCAGTACAGATGTTGATTCAAATTCAGACACATGGTAGTCATAGTCTGTCAAATTAACCAGGGTATGCTCTGAAGTTTCTCAAGTGTGGTGTTACTGGTGGAAGGATAGAGAAAATGAAGTTGGTTCTAAAGCCTGTCAGTACAAAGGCTGGGTTTAGATGAAAATTTTGAGCTGGCCTCACCAATGAAAAAACAGCTTTAGTGGGTGCAACTGGGTGTTTTGTGTTCCAACATAATTCCTTGCTTGTGGCAGCCTGTTTGTGATGCTGTACAGGAACTGATTGAGCTGGCTGAAAAATACCCAGTTTTAGGGGGAAGAGGGAAGGCTATTCATGTTCATCCATGTTAGTTTTCAGTTCAGCACTAAAAGCCCTACTATCACATCTGCATTCTTGAAGCTGCCCTTTGAATAGCTCTGAAATTTAGAGATTTTTTATCTGCATAAGTTAGTCCAACCATTCAGCCTGCCTGTTGACAATGCAGTGATGTCATGTTCCTTTCAGCAAGTCCTTGCTCTTGCTCTGCAACCCAGGAGGACAACACAAAACCCCCAAAAAGGCATGAAAGACTGGAAAAAATTGTTAATTAACAAATCTGGAAGAGAGACCATATTTTTGATACTATTCCTGTTCAAGATTGAACCACGAACAAGTACAAGTTAAGGCTCCAGTTCATCTTGAAAACCTTCCCATCTGAAGCAATCACTGTTACCAGCCAGTGAGTTTTCTGTGGTTTTGGAACAGTGGAAGCAAACTGGAGTACTGGAGCTTATCAGCTGACTTACAATTGTGAAACTCAGTTCTGAACAGAACAGGGTAACAACATACTGTCCTCAAGAATGAGATGAAGCGCCTAATTCTTCAATGGTCTCCTCCAATAACATCTGAAAACTAAACTGTCTGTGAAAGAAAGACAACGGGGAACAAAAGGAGAAATGAAAATGGTACAGATTTCCTACAAGTTCTATGTTGCTGAAATATGAGAAGAAAAAAAGATCTAAATATTAATGTGAAGTATTTATGGTTTCAGTTTATATTTAGATGTAAGCAAGAAAACAAAAAATGTAGTTTGGGTGCCATGCTTTTATTTAAATGAAAGGAAAAAACTACACTGTACCACATAAGTAGCAATGACAATATTTTACAGCACAGCATTTGAAAAAATATGGAAGCTATGCTCCATAGAAGTGGACAAGTAAGCACACAATACACTGTACATTATTCAACAGTGCCCATTAAATCATAATTAAATAAGCTGAATTTGGCTTTAAACAGCCAAAT